GGTCAGGGCGGCTAGGAGCTGGAACCAACTTCCAAGCGAAGTGGTGCTGGCTCCTACCCTGGGGGGCTTTAAGACAAGGCTAGACAAATACCTTGCTGGGGTCATTTGACCCCGGAACTCTTTTCTGCCATGGCACGGGGTCAGACTTGATCTGCTCAGGTCCCTTCCAACCCTACCTACTACGAAACTATATCAGTTTAAGAGGCTTGTCCCCTGCTGACATTACATACCTAGTATGACATCCCTACAGCTTCCCCTTGCAACTGGATGCAGTGAAAAAGAAAGGTCACTGAGTTGTTTTCCCCACTGCCTTCTGTTTTAGTCTATAAAGAGGTGGAGAATCTTAAAAATTCAGTCAGCTCAACAGTTTGAATCAAGCCATTCACATATTAGCTTTGTAAGAGATCATTAAGATACAAGGTTGGTGGTCAACATAATGATTTAGGATACTTATTTTTTCCCCCAGCAGAACTCAATGTAAAATAAATTAATCAGACTTGGGAGAGTGGCTATCGTACTCATAACCAAGGTATGCCTACTGTCAGGAGCAACACCATGTACCCTAACTCCTCCTTCGCCCTTCCCACACTTGTGCACTTTTAGCTCACTGACTAATCTGCCAACCAAGGAGAGACAGATGAGATTCCCTTTGTTTTTAATCAAGTGAACTCTTCTCCGTTGATGGCTCTGTATGTCACTCATCACAAGCCCTAGAAATGCATTATCTTGCCTCAGTAGGGCCAAAGGTGCTGGCCAGGGAATCAAACGAAGGCTTAGGTCTTCTGGCTTGGCATTGCTCTTGCTAGGCCCAGAAATTTAAGCTGGAATTTAAGATGCAAGCTACAAATAGTTATGCATCCATAATGTCAGCATAAGTGACCCTGGAGAAAAGACACCTTCTAATGAAGGCTCTGGTGTCATCATTTGGATCATTAAGTATCGATGTGTCACATCGATGTGTTGGTTTTTATTCACTCATGAGTCATTATTGAATATATGATGAAACACTCACATAGCTGTGTTTTTGATGATCCTTCCTTGATCCATTTTCTGCCCAATACCATGCACAACAAACACTATGTGCCCAGTTTGTGGCGGCTTGTCTTCTAATGTAGCTTCTTCTACATAGCCTCTATGAAGTCTTGTCCCGCTACTGGATGCTGCAGAAAAAAAATACCCTCAATCAACTGTATTCCTTGATGCCTGACATCATCATATATTCTGCTAGACCATGCGTCAACATTACATAAACACACAAACCATTTTGCAAAATATAATACACTTTGAAAAATGAGTGCATACAATGCCTCAGATGTTCAAAGTTGTCCGAGAAACCTTGGATAACCAATTCTCATTACACTTACCAGCCGATGTCATTTTCAGTGCAGATTTCATAATTTAAAGGCTGTTTTGAAAAAATGAATTTTCAAACAGCTGAATGATGGACAATTCATGTTTATAACAAATGACATGCCTCTGTATATTTCAAATATCAAACATTTAATTTTCTCAAATTTTGAAAATACTCCCACAGAGATTAGTGTATACATAAAGCTTCTTGACAGCTGTGTTTCTAACCTATGGATACAAAAAGCATCATCAGCATGATTGATATGCAACTCCCTCTCATTCAATGAATCGAGCTGGGGGGAAATTTTTACTTTTCATTTCAGTGACAAAACCCAAGACCTTTTTTTTTCCCCCCCCACACATTTTTGCAATTCAGTAGCTGAACGTCTAAATCAGCTATTCATGCAGCCCTAGCCTCAACATTCGTATACTGCCTTGCAGACAGCTGTGAAATCCTCTAGCAAAATGCACCTCCATCCTCCCCCCAGGGATATATACAAATAGAAGAGTAGTGTCTTACAATAGGACCAGTTAGATCAAGTAGGACATTATTGTGCTGTGAAGGATACGTTCAACCCCCAAGGTCACTATGTGGGGGTTCAATGGCATTCAATGATAAAAACCGAAAAAAGGTTTGCTAAAACAACCAAAGTACCATAAAATAAAGCCCTTATATTTGAAAAATGTTTAGATTGCAAAGTCAAGCACTTGAAAGTTAGGAAATATCAGATTAAAGGGTAGTCTGTGGAACATTCATTTTGCCCCATTTTGAACAGACTATAACTGCAGTTTTCGGTGCCTCACTCAACGTGCAGAATGACTTACGCTTACTGAACAGGCAGCTATTTAACCCCTGCTCCCTTCTCATTCAGTGTTTGGCCCTTTGCATTATTCATTGAACATGGTCCATACCCCGCTCTGAATACAGTTATTAGCTTCCTCAAGGCTTATCTATGGTAATCTCAACATAATATTTTAATTCTTTATGAACATAAATGAACTAGCCCCACAACGTCCCTGTGAGATGAGAGGGGTTATCATTCTCATTTTACATTGTGAAAATGAAGCACTGATATTAAAGCCAACAGTCAACTCATTTGGGTGCCCCATGTCAGAAACCTCTTCCGTCTTTATTCTTTCAGAGAACTTTCCACTCCTAGGTTCCCAGTGCAGGTCCTCTCAATCTCTATTGTCCGTGCTCACCCGTTCTCTTAAACACCAGCTCTCTCGATTGGATTGCCCAGAAAATGAGGAACATATGTTGAAGGAGGCCTGTGTGCATTTTGATTTATGTGACCTGTCCAGCACCACATAGGAACACTAGGAGTCACTTAACTTATCTGTGAAGCTATCCTGTCTTTTTGTGCAACCCTGCCTCATTTTCTACACACCTTCCAACTTCTGCAACAAATGAGGCAGAGGCCCGATAGAAAAGTCTCTCAGTACACAAGATCAATCCAGCCCCACATTGAATCTATGTTATGCACTGAATGAGTTGAGTCCTGTGGAAAAAATGCATGTGATCAAGCAGTTAAAGCATATGCACAAGAGGGACAATTTAAAGCTGCACAAGTAACTTTTAAGTTGGTATTTTGTAGCTCTGGAGTGCCTGACTTTGCAACCTTACCATTCTTAGAATACAGGGTTTTATGTGATACAAAAGCTTCTATTTAAACTATTTAGTACAATTAAATTGTTAGTCTATTTTGTTTTTAATTACAAATGTTTGCAACAATTTAACAGCACTTCTCTGAGTCATTCACCCACAAAAGTGCAACAGCAAAAACTATCTACCAAAGAACCAAAGAACTTCAAACTTGACAATCAGATTAGCTCTAGAATTTTCTTCTCATAATATCAGCGCAACAGAAGCTATTAAAATAACAGTCTTTACGATATTCTTTACAAATGCTCAGAAACATTACCTTTGGAAAACCCCAATTTTTGAGTAACAGTTCTTGCAATTTTAGATGTTGTTGCATCACTGTAAAGATACACTTCATCCACACTGTGCCAGTCCACATGATTGCGACTCAACTTTAAACTATGAACAGCTGTAGCAAAAAGGAACAACTTTTAATTTAAATGATTAAGCAAAAATCCAGACAGAGAGGGGAAGAGGGGGACACAAAAAAATACAATGACATTCTAGTATTTAAATTTAAAGTCTGTATTGCTTTGCCCTTAAAATATTTATAAACGTTGGACTTGCTCATCTAGAACAATTGGGCAATTCCTTTTGGAAACATCAGAACAATTCCACTTTACTCCCTTCCCACATGGTTCTTCCTTTTAGGAATGGAGACTCCCTGACGAAAGGGACTCTTAGCTAAAAGCAACTCATGGGGGAGCTAATGCTTGCAAATTATTTCTTGAATCAGCTGGTGTAGTCAGATGTACACCTGTGCCTCTGATGTCAACTCGAGCCTGAATGAGCAGGTACACTCATGCCATCTCTGTGTCCTGTGTGTACAGCACCTAGCACACTGGAGTCCTTACCCATGACTGTGGCTCTCAGGTGCTATGGTAAACACACCTGCATTGGGGGTTAAGTGTGAAGAACTAACAGCTAGAGTCCCTCCAAGTGAGGAAAACACAGCTCTAAGCTCCACAGATAAACGTTACTGAACCAAAAATTCTCTCACCAGGACAGAATGGTGATTTCTGAGAGAGGGTCAGCAGTACTTTGCATGCAGCTGGCCGACACTTCAGCTAACAGTTTCCATACATGGGTACCTGATTGCAGCCCACTTAAGGTCCCTGACTTTGCACGAGGTTTTCAGAGGTACTCATTACAACTGCCGGCTCATTACAAGTGCAAATCCCAGATAACTTACATTTAGGATTTGCAGTACTGAACCTACAGGAGAGCAGCTGCACTGATGGAATTAACTCTGATAGTGTCTATCTCAACAATATTGAAGCTGTACTTTAAGAAGAGGCAGTGCCAATAGCTCTGCACTAAAAACAGTATGATTTAGCAGTGTCACCAGGTCTGGAGAGCCTGCACTCATTCAAAGCAGAAGCGGGGGGTATGGAGCATGACAGAAGTCGTGGTTTCTGTTCCTTATTGGAGGCCATGAAAGATTCCTTTCTACTTTCATAAATCTATTCTGTGAAAGTTCGAACATGCCTTGGACAGTTATACTACAGAGTCTAAATCTATTACATAAAACCCTGGTCATTCATAACCTTTCCTGTTTCATGACTTTGTTTCATTGTCAAACTGTAGAGGGCTAGTGCTATCAGATGATAAATTTAAGTCAGGACACTGGGGAGGAATGAAGTAGAAGGGAATTTAAAAACACACAGTAAAAAACCACTTTATGCAGAAGTGAGTGAAACTATGCAACTGTTCTGGATTGGTGGCTCCAAAGAACAAAAAAAGGATGTTTATGCTGATAACAGAATTATGTATGAAAATAAAAGACGAGCCATGTAAGTTTAGGGTGATATTTGGCAAAGAACCAAAGGCATTCACTGATTTATAAAATGGCAGTCTCATTTTAGGGCTGGTTGCTATTCATAGTTTCATAGTTTCTAGGGTCGGAAGGGACCTGAGTAGATCATCTAGTCCGAACCCCTGCCATGGCAGGAAAGAGTACTGGGGTCAAATGACCCCAGCAAGGTGTTCATCTAACCTCCTCTTAAAGACCCCCAGGGTAGGAGCCAGCACCACTTCTCTTGGAAGTTGGTTCCAGATCCTAGCCGCCCTGACCGTGAAGTAGCGCCTCCTGATATCTAGCCTAAGTTTCAGGGAATCTTAGCATGAGGTGTCAGAAAGGAAAGGGGGCTCTAGGCTCTATCAACATCATGAATCCCCTCCATATGGACTGCAACAAAGATGGTAAGGGGATAGGAGAACTGGGGACAGGGACAAATCCCCACACGTGTGGAGAGAAATTATTTCTTCCAAATGAAACAAAAACCCAAATCACGCACACATGGGACTCTAGGCCCATGCTGTGGGATGAAGAAAGTCCCTGAGCAAACTGGAAATCCAGGGACTGACATGAACGCATAGCACCTGCAAAAACCACTTCATTCAGAGGTGAAGCGAAGGCTCGAGGAAAAGGGGTCAGACAGAGGCAAGGGGTGTGTGAATGGAGGGGGGCATAGGGGGAGGATGCCTTTTGTCTTAAGGCCAGTGATGTGGGTTAGTGGAAGCCTTGGTCTCTCACCACAATAAAACCTTCCCTCCAAACTGATGGATTTTATAGGAAATCAACAAGATTACTCAGACACAATCCATTCCTGCCTGGGAAGAATGGGGCATTAATATTCATTGGTGTGTTATTCTCCAAAAACTTATAGCTGAATAGTACCTGCTTCTAAGCCCCATACCTCCCCCACAATTGCTGACATTTAATATATATATTAAAAATCAATCCAGAGACCTGCAATTACTTAAGTGATAGAGCAGATATTGCCATCAGCTCCTGCATGAAGAGAACTGTTACTGAGGACAGAGTTAGCAACCAAAGCAGTTGTGGCTGCTGTTATAAATCCTCTGGCAAACTTTTTAATTCTATGCACACACCTGCAATGCATTTAACTTTTAAACATTTCATTGTGGAATGCCCAGATGATAGTCAGGTAGGCTCACTACCATCAGCGAGGGAAAGGAAATGCAGATGCATTTTGAAACCTAAAACAAAATTCTGCTCTTCAACACAGGAAGAAAATATGAGACTTTTCTTTTGCTTATACTTAAATATACTTATGCTTTTGTCATCTACAGGAGAAGACAGGAAAACTTGGATTAAATTTAGAGCAAACTGAACTGCTAGTGTGGAATTTCAAAGCACTTGTAGACTTAACTCTGCTCCTGTTGAAGTTAACAGTTTATTATTACTGGTTTCAAAAGGGAGCAGACTTTAGATCCAAGACAAGTGCATTTGAAAACCTTCTTCCTCCCTCCAAACATTAACAGTTCTGCTAAGATTTTGTCTTGCTTCTGAAGCGCATCAATTTACATCATGCAAATTCAATTATTTAAAAAACAAAGGTTCTTTTTCTGTGGCATAATCTCCCTGATCCTGTATTCCACACTATTTCCCCCATCTCTTTCAAATGCCTAATGTCTTGCTTTGTTCCAGTGCTGACTCTCCTTCTAAAATACCAAGATAATACATAAAAAGGGAGAAATGCATATAATGCAATTAAGTTTAAAAATCTAAATAAGAGCAATTAAAAAAAATAATTTAAAGCATCATTTTAAAAACTTTAAACATAATGCATGTGTTATATGAGTGACCACCCAACAATATACAGTGTAAGCCTCTTTCTCGGAGCTGACATAATTTATCATAGTTTGCATCTACTTGTGATTGAAAGCTCTGGTGCTCTGGCCCCATTTGATTTGATAGACACCATATGCAACAATGCTGCTGTAAAAATAAGTGTTTACATCTTTCATGATTGTCACAAACATTATAGCAAAGTAATCGTGTTATAAAATATTATTATTAGCTTCTACTTTTCTAAGAGACACTATGGTGCTACTTTTCCTTTAAGAATTAAAATGCTTTTTCTACCCTTTTGAAAGAAAATGGCATAACTACTGTGCAAGAAGTGGAAGCGCATGGATCTAATGCATCCTTCTGACATAGGCAAACTACAGTTTAAAGCTTCCTACGCCAGGCAGAAAACAAGAAAAAAAATCTACAGTTACTGTACCTTGGGAACGCTTTCGTTTAAGACATGCAGCCTCTGTATTCTCCTTATATCCTCTCCATTTGAACAGAGAAGGGAGGGAGAAGGGAGGGAGGTAGTAGATAACTAAAAGCAAAAACACTGAGCTTCAAAGTAAAATTTTTAAAAGGGTATCATTTCTTTTTTCATTAGGATTACTGTTTCTAAAATGAAGTGGCACACGTCAATTTTTATTAATGCTTAAAAAAGGGGTTTGTAGCAAAAATGTCAATTGATGCAAGGCAAATTTTCTTTACTTTTCATAAAATATTTATCTTTTCATGAACATGGTACTTCCAAAAAACATTAGAAGACTACAAGCACACCACAAAGCAATCCAGTCTCTCTTGCCCTTTCCATTTGTGCAATTGTAAAGAATGCAAGAACCTTTTATTTTTATTTTTTTACATTTTGCAACTTCACAGACAGCTAGTGGATTCCTTCTCCCCAAAATATGGGGACACTGAGTTAGAATAGCCGACATATCCTGTTGCCCCATTTTGTAGGTCTGTAGGCAGCTGCCTTCCACAAAGTGAGGCAGACTAATGCACACTCTGCTTAGGATATCCCTTCCATTCCTGAAAAGCACAAGAACATCCCCTTGATGGTAAGGCAAGTCCGTTATTTCTGTTACATTTTCAATAGTCTCATTTTATTCCTTAGAGGATATAAAATAAGAATATGGAAACAAATTTCCTTTGAACTATTGTGCAATATTTGATGGACTTACCTTACCATCTAGGGGAATCATCAATGCTAGTCAGCTATGGAAGGGGACACCACAAGGTAAGGGAAAGCTGCAGTATCTGGAAGAAGCTGCTCTCAGACACCTACAAAATAGGAGAACAACAGGTACTATTAAACCCAGTTTTGATAAACTGCCTGTTGTATTTTTTTACGGTTCTGGAGGCTAGCTTGAAAGTGAGGTTTTACCCCAAAAAGCGACCCCGTAAAAATGGCATTTTCTTATTCAATAAAACTGCTCTTTGCTATGTCTCATCCAATTTCTTTAGTAAAAAGGGAAAGTTTTCACTTTTTACAAAACTTTTTAGTGTCTGACAGCCAACATAGCTAAAACGTGTGATCAAATTCTGTGAGAAAGTGAGGTGGATTCTCTATCTTTTTTTGATTCAGAAACCAGATATTTTAAGTTAAAATTACAGTAACAGTTAACACTTCCACAAGCCCATTGAAGGAGGTCTGCTTGATTTCATCTTTCGTACACCTCATGTCTATTAGTAACGCTCCATACACAGGAATCCTGGTGCACTATACTGGCAAGGTGTTCCTACTATGGGCGCAACTATACCAAAAAACTGAACTTTGTACTTGTGTAGTAAAACCATTCCTCATGAGCAAAAACAGCTCTCTCGGTAAAAGTGATGTTTTGCCAGCATAATCATGTCTACACCAGGGGCATTTATCATCACCCAGCTGTGCCGGTTAGGCACCACACCCCCCTAGGTCCTGAACTAACACAACTGTGCTAACAGAAATCTGCAGCCTAGATCTCACTTGCATTAGAGTTACAGCTGTAGAAATCCAGTGTATGATAGAGGAAAAATAAGCCCTTTGAGGCTGCACTTGTGTACTGAGTGGATAAACTGGTCTGTACAGTATGTTACTACCTAATGATTATACAGCTCTAAAGAAGGACATCTCTTTACTTTCCAAGGTTGAATTTGCTAGGCTGGCAGATACATGCCAAAAGACTCAACCTTTATAAATGTATTTATGAACTGAGAAAATTGTTATCTGAAATCACTATGGCAAAACAAACCAAGTATCCACCCCCAATGCAATTTTTACAGAGTCAGTTTTTTGGAGTATAGCCACATTTAAAGTTGCAAAAACAATAACAAAAAACACACAATAAAGAAGGTTCCTTACATGCAACTTGTTCAATTTCCAAAACAATGTTTTCCAAAATTCATTTCAAGTGATAGTCTCATAGAGTTATTTTCTCCATTTCTGATCAAATACAATGGTATTAATTTGTATTCTTTGCTTGTTTCCAAGTAAATTTAACTACCAGCCTCACTCCCTTCTAATTAAATATGAATATACATGGAAAAAAAAAATCACAGATCAAAGGTCACAGACACTGACATAAACGTGATTAACATGCAACAGTTAACTGCAATGCGTTCCGAACAGCGGTGCCCAATCACATGGCCCTATATTTGGATTACAAATGTAAAATCCTTTCCCCATGGTTTTGAATGGAGGTGTCTGAATTGGCCGTTGCTCCATGGAGCAGACTGGGGACACAGACTGTTCAAATGCCTTCCTCCCACTCCTGCTGCTGCCACCCCAAGAGCACAGCGCATTATGCTATGGGCCAGTCCCCCAAAGCCTTCCCAATTCTTGTTCCAGGTACCAAGCATTGTGAGAAACCTGCTCAGTAGATATTAGGGGTTTCTGCATCCCTGTGACTCTTGGATGGTTTTAGGTCTCTTTGTGATCTCAAGGGCACAGAAACCGCTCCAGGGTACCGTGACCATTTGCTTTTGAAAATATCAAGTCAGGCCCTCAGTTTGGACATCACTGTTCTAAAAAACAAGAGAGAGACCTTCTTTATCCTGTTAAAACAAACACTTGAAGTTAGTAGTGCATTTAGCTTAAAGACATTTAAAAAACCTGCTAGGACCAGAGTTCTCCTACAAGACCTGCAGACGGCACATTTAAGCCACTAAAGAATGAAGCCCCCAGGGTGTTTTTAGATAAACTATTGTTAAAACCCCCCCTCTAAACTCTTAGCTCAAATCCTGCCTAGTAAGAAAAAAGATAATTTCTGAATGCAGTTTTAAAATATATTTTAATATTGTACATTTACCCAAGTACAGTCAATGATGTGTAAGAACTTACAGTTTTTGTGCTGACTTCAAAACCATATTCAGCTAAAATATTGCTGCACAGGACACAAATGTGTCATTTCAGCCTCCCTCAACAATTTTTCCATGTACTAATGACTTTTTATACTGTGATCCTATAAATATAGTTACTGGGTATATACAGTACAAGAAAAGCCAGTATTTTCTGGGGGAAAAAAGACGTACACAGACACTGTAGACCTGAATAAAGAAATAACAAAAGGCATTTTTCATATTGTTTGTATTCGCTATCTACAAATATGTGGACACTTGAAACTAAACCGCTTCCTTGTTTCAAAGCAACTTCATCTTCCATCCTATATTCAAGCTAGTCAAAGTGTTGAATTAATGCACACTAAGTTAGAAAGCAATTCATCTTTTAGAAAAAAAGGATAAACAAATCTGGTATGGAGAGAAGAGCACAATGATATAGATTCTACTGCAAATACTGAAACAGTGGATTTGGGGACCAACAAGCAAGCCTAACTGTGTTAATATAAATGCCATGAAACGTCAGAAGAACACATCTGTGTTTTTATTTATAACAGAAGCGAAGCATGTTGTTTGGGGTCTTCAGCAGTCATCCGGAGGTCAGTCACTTAAAAAAAAAAAAAGGCAAAGTAGCCAAAATGTCAAGCACCACTTTTAATATACCAAGTCTAAACATGTGCTTCGATTGTAGCCTAATGTTAAAATCTAATATAAAAATAGCTCCCAGCAGCAAATTTTTCCCTAAATCTGCTAATTTATTTTCATGACTTGCATTAACTAACAGCTAGACCATGGGAGTGCTTTTCTACAATGAGGCAGTCAGATGAATGCAGTCAAACATCCTACCCTCCCTTCTGAAGTGTGATTATTAAATGGTTGTATCTATTGGAGCATTAGACAGGCTTGTAGGCTGGATCAAGCAAAGCAATTCTAACTTGTCCAAGACCTACTACCAGTCCATTTAAAAAGGGCCTGCATCAATCACAGACATTTCCTTGGTGAAGCACTGGAATCCAAGTGCAGAAATAGGGTAAAGGAATTGGACTTGGATTCCTCTCTCCTAGGCAGCAGGATGCTTTGCAAACTAAGGAAGACACTGATTAGGAAAGTGGCATTTATGCTATGGCTCTGGGGAGGATAGCCTTCCAAAACTGATGTCCGTGGAGTCCACTGTAACAATTTTCTGCTTTTCCAAAAATGCAGCAAAAACTAGCTCAGCAGCATCTTCCACTGGCACTTTTTGGAGCTAGCATCTATTGATATGCATGCTTTTCCATTTAGAAAGGGGGAGTGGCATCACCTGGCCAATATCCAAGCAGTACTAATTTACTGTACGCACTGCCCTGTAGTTACAGAAGAGGAGAACACTGGCTCCCTGTTAGTTCATTTTCTGCACAGAATTTGGTGGAGACTGACACAAAAGCCTAAGAAATGGTAAACAGATGCATCTCAGTCACTAAAATAAAGAATACAACAGGACGCCCTGAAGTTTTAGACTGAATTAGAAGAGGGGGGAAAAAAGGCCTGCTCTTGAAATGGAAGTAGAAACAGAGAACGAAGCCACATCCTGTCTATAGGAAGCGAGGTGGATTTCTGCCATCAAATTCTTCAGGCAGCTGCTGCCATCCACAACAGCCTTGGGATCAGACCCAGCTGTATTATTCAGATGGCTGGTATCTGGTACACGAGCAAAGTGCTTCTTTCACAACAGGGACTAGGTTTTTATGCTAATATTCCATGCAGTATTTTAAGGAAGTAAGAACATCTTATTGGTAAGACTTCCCTACAGTAATCTGCCATAAAAACTTTACTGTGAAGTTGGCACACGATGCCTAGTTCCACGTAGTCTCAGCATTAGCCAAGTTCTACAGTATTCTCAATAGCCAGTACTGCTTAGAGAGATAATTAGACGCCTATTCTACTCTCAGTTAGTGCTAATGACAGCTACATACGAGCCTTGAAAGAATAAAGACCGCTTAGTGTAGTAGGCAATTATAGAAAATTGTAGCAGACATACACAAAACATTTAAAGAATTTATACACAATGTACCTCTTTCTATTTAACTACTTTTAGATCAAACGAAACCAGTTAACAGTTTCCAAACCTTTTCCCCCCCTGCAGTGCTGTTTTGGGACATAGTAATTATGGATGCACCTGATTGGTCACATAATAAGTGGCATGTTTCAATAACAGAACTACTTTCCATTGCTTACTGTTCATTATAATAATTTCAGATCTCCCTTTTAGGCAGTAGTGTTAACCTGCCTTAAAAATCAGCATGCTCTATATTAATGTTATATTATATAAAAGAAAAAATGACAAGGAAAATAGAGTACAGTTTATTGTACTTGTGACAATAGATTTTAATATAAAGATAACGGTGCTTTGATTTCACCCTCCTTTATATATCCAAACTGCCTCATTGTCTTCCTCTGTTCCCTTTGCCCTCCCTTCTCCTACCCCCAACAATGAAGCCATCCTTCTGTCCAAGGGTTGACTCTTTTTGAAAAGAATTTGAACTCCATTCCTCCAGTGGGCTGGAGATGTGAACACAATACACACCCCCTCCTTCCCAAGCACTCCCACCCCCTAGACAGTCCAAGCAGCAATCGCGTAAAGCTACTGCTATGTGAAAAGTGCTTTATCTACAGAGAACAACCTGTGTGCACTAGCGAAGCATAGTGGCAAGGCCATGCTTTGTACCACTCTAGTAAAATCAGTCCCTACAACTGAAATATGCTATTCCAGCAAAAGGGCAGCTTTGCCAGTATAACTGAATCTATGCATTAGAAGGGGTCTGTTCACACAGCTACGTCAGCCAGGTATTCTCTCTTCACACCCCGACCACAGCTGTGCCAGCAGGGCACCATAGAGTAGGCCCAGCCCCAGCCCCAGGAGGTTTTTCAAGGGGCACAGAGGGAAGTCAGCCATCCAATCTGCATTCAGTGGAGTCAGGCACTTAACCCTTCCTTGCACCTCTGAAAATCCTTCTCAAGTCAGCAAATGGCACAATTTAGTCTTCCTTATAGCAGTACAAGATCTACCAACAAGATGATTCAGGATATTATGTTCACCATTGCATTTTCCTCAAAAAAGAATCTGTTCTACTACTTCTCTGTGAGCACCTATACACACGACAGTTCTGTGCTCCAACGCATGCTAATTAACACGCATCAGAGCAGACTCGATTAACTGAGTCTGCTGGAGCATGTTAATCAGCGTGCTCCAGCAGCCCCCGTGTCACATGTATTCAGTATCCCCTCTTTTCGAAATGGTGGCGGGGGTGCTTTAACTAAAGTTCATTGAATGAGCTTTAGTTAAAGCACTCCCACTGCCATTTGGAAACACAGGACACTGAATACACTGCGGGCGCTTTAAATTACAGGAGTTCTCAGAGCCGCTCTAATTAAAGCACTCCCCCCCGCAGCGTGTGTATAGACGCTCTATTTTATCAGATTCAACCACTGACTGCCTCTTCCTATTGTATCCTACTCTCATTTATTAACAAGTCCCAACCTGCAGTGTTTAGCTTATGATGATGCCCAGGGCCACACCCATTTTTTAGGCACCTCCACGTTCCATAACCTTTAGAATATATATTCCACTTATTTTACAATCCTTCTAAGATGCATGTGTTTTTACAAAAACACTGCCCAAAAGCTGGCTAATTTGTATTTTGAGGACTTGGTAATTGTAGTGTTTGGGGAACCTATAAAATGGCACACAAGGATAAGTGAAACTGGACAGTTAAAAATATTGAGCTTTTGTTGTGCTGTGCTTACCCAGAACAATTCACCCTACTGCCAGTCGTAAATAATTCAATCGTAATTTCAGAAGGGTATTCTTAAAAACATGAAACAAGTTTGACTCAAGACCCCATGAAACCCCAAGTGTAGTGGTCTCAGTCTGGCCATTCAGATATGGGGATTTTCATAACAGAAACAATATAGAGTTTGATAGAACTAAGCCACTAAACTCCCAGATTGAGCCAGAATGGAAAAATGAAATATGTGACTTGTGAAAATGATGTACCTGCAAGGCATAATTAAAGTCAATTACAGGGAGTTTATATTGAGATCATCAACACTTTTCTTAGCCCATGAAAAGAAAATTGCAGTTTCACTTAAAGCTTTTTAATACAATAACGAGTAACAAATTAGTGTCTGAGACAAAATGGGGACAAGACCAGAAACACACCTGTAAGTTCAGCCTTAAATCGAGTGATGCTAACAAGTACAGCGATTCAGTAAATCCTAAAAACTAACCAACTATCTGGATAGCCTGAAATTTGTGAATGCAGACTGGAGCAAATAATGCCTATGCATGCAGAATTAAAAAGAGAATGGAAGAATACACCAAACATTCATCTTACTTAACATAAAACACCTTCCACTGATATAAACAATGGTCCAGGCAATCTTACCCTCTTTCCCATCTACAGGTTTTGATATTTCCATATCAAAGTTCTCTTGCACTTGTTGGCCTTTGAAACAGGTGAGATGTTCCTGTTCTATTAGATTACTTTCTTCCTCTTCTAGAGGCTGCCAGGTCCCGTCAATAAACCACTGTCCACGCATTACAGGGATTTTTTCCGTTTCTAAAAAACATTAAACAACAGAGATCGAATTCAACACAGCAGGAACTGATAATGAGTAAAATAAAATATATTTAGGATAAAATAGGAGTTTTAGGAAAAGTTAGAATATGACTTCTGGAATCTTAATTAAAGTAACTGCAGCTGACTCTTTAGTTAGGCTATAATGGCGTGGGCAAACTCCAGCCCGTGTGCTGGATTTGGCCCGTGACAGGTCCTGCCTGGCCCAGCTGCTAAACGGGCCATGGTGCATCCTGCTGCCCCAGTGCAGCAGGGTTGGGGCAGCTCCACAGACAGACTATTTCCCAGCAGCCCTGGTGGCTCCCTCCAGCTACTGCCGCTACCAGCCCTGGCCCCACGGAGACCAGCGGGGACCCCTGTGGGCAGGGCCCAAGCCCTGGGCTGTGTGCACAAGCCCAGCCCGCCCTGCTCAGGGGCTGGGGTCCCTGCAGTGCCTGCTCTGGATGCGCCCGCCCAGCCAGGATGAACAGTGGCAGCGGTGGTGGGGTAGAAGCTGCTGCTGGGTGTGGGGAAAAGGTGGGATCTAACAATGGACATGGCCTTTTCCCCATCGCCGCTGCCAGGCCCTCCTTGCTGCCACCACCCAGAGCCCGCGCCAGGGCTGCCCTGCAGGAGGTTTGGCGAGCTGTTGCTGGGGCAAAGGGGATGGAGGTGCTGACCTTGCCTGCAACAACTCCCCAGAACTTCCTATGTGGCTTGCAGGCCCAAAATATTGCCCACCCCAGTCTATAAGGTGCAAAT